CCATTATTATACCCAGAAGATTCTTAAACAGTCCATTTTTTAAAATATGAAGGTCAAATTACCTGTTACATTGTCTGCTACATTTAAATCTAACAATGGTATTTTGGTACTAATTCATATAATTGTGCAAGTAAACAAAAAAAAATGTTTCCTGTGTCAGTGAGTAAGTAGTTTCCAAAACCAATATAAAATGAGAAACTACTAGCTTCACAGTTACTGTGAAGCTGAGAACACAAAGGCTATGTGTTTATAAAGTCCCTTAAAGTCCAAAGCAGTAAAAGCCTGCAGATGACAAAATGAGCAAGTCTCAACAGGTCCACTGTAGTGGGAGAGAAGAAAAGACAAGGGGAGCTTCAGGCAAAAACAGGTCAGTCACCCTACCTAATTAGATGTCAGATGGAGGACTTCCAGAAAAAATACGTCAATTGCTTCATTTCCCACGTGCCTAGCCTCATTAAAAAAAGCAATGTAAGGAATACAATCATGCCTCTGAAAGATGTTCTGCTGCCAGACTGCTTCTCTCCACCTGATTGGTTGAGCCGGGGGCTAGATGACCTTTCACCTCTCAGTACAGTGAGGTCTTTGCATGGCTACAATGACAGGATGATCCATACAGTCAACCGCTGAAATCTTTCAAGCAGGTCTCGTGCAGAGTTTAATTTCCTCACCAGGCCGAATAATTCACCAGACCTTTTTTTTTTCATTGCTAACTCAATATAGCACTTATAAATTATGTCTCACTGTGCACCAAATAAAGAGCAGCCACTAAGATGCGTAAATGAAGGGAAATTGAAATCCAGCAGTAAATTGCCCAAGACACTGCCAGGGGAGGTTTCCTACATATTGATGTCCCTTCATCAGTAATTATTCAAACTGGTGAACCCCTGACTGAAACTAGCTCCTGCAAAGCTAGAAGAAATAAACAAAGTAGTCACAGTTCATTTCTTGCCAGTGACCTTTTCATATATAAAACTGTATGTGGTGAATGATCAACCTCAAAGATGGAAAGTTGATGGTTGTGACGTGGCGTTATTTATAACAGCTAGTGTGCAAATAAATTAAGGGGATTTTCATAATCTAATACATGTTAAATGCTGTACATCGGAGGAGTTTTGCAACTCCAATATTCCTGGCACTTATTTCAATGTCAATGCAAGAACATTTAAGAATGATGCATCATTTTTAGCTTATTTCAAGAGCTGCCAAAGAAACAGGTTTGACAGTTCACTAGTCACGCTTTCTTTAATGGAATTTAGAAGCCTGGAGTAGTTTCTTCATCAGATCTTGCACACTGCTTCTTAAAACGAGTAATAGAAAGGATATATCATGGGTTTCGAACAGTTTGCTCACACAAGCAGTTTAATTAAATGGCCATTATGGCCATTATGTAAGTTAGCACCATAGTTAGTGCAATAAAGATGCTGAAACTACTAATCCTTATAAAACTGTGTAGCAGTTTAGATAGACAGCCCCATAACCAGAAAACATGGATAGCTTTTTATACTCAAAAATAAAAGTCTTTCTTCCATGCATACAGTATATAGCCATTACAACACAAAAGATGTGAGCTAGTTATCCATTTTGATCAGGCTTTATGTTCTTTTCAGTTACATTCCTTTCCATGATAGCTGTCTTGAGAAAGGGAGTGAGAGTTACATAGGAAGAGGAGCCTCTTTGAAATAAGACTTTTAAATTCCTGTGTGGCAGACTGTAACTGTACATCTTAAAACATCTTCCAGTAACTAAAAAAACCTGAAGTGGCCAGAAATAAGATATTGCACATTTAAATTAGTGACAAAGCTGCATCAGCCATAACAAAGAGGCATCATCAGCGAGGGCTGCTTTTCAGACATTGTGTTGCGATGTTCTGAATATTCGCAAGGGGAGATGGGGATTTCATTCTTCAAGGGTGCACAGAGTAAGAGGCACTCCCTGCTCAATTTTCCAGTAAACCATTAGAAGACAGCTGGAGGAAGGAATGCGAGGCATGTTCAGAGAAGGGTGTGAGAGTGATGTCAGTGTGCAGAACGGAGTGGGGGCGGGGAGGAAGTGGGTCAACTGTGCAGTTTAGGGAAGGAGAGCATTTGGGAGGGGGGGGGCAGTACTTAATCTGTGGCAGATCAGTGCTCACACATCAATACTCACAGCTGTCCTCTTCCTCAGTGAAAGCGCTGACGACATAGCAGGCGTAGACAAACCCCACAAGCTGCAAGGGAAACAAAAGAAGACAGGGGCTATAACAAAAGTGCTTTAGCCATTGACAGCCAACAAAAGAATAGGCCAAGGGGGCCATATCAGTCTGTCATTCACGTCAGAAAAAGCCCTCCATCCATCATCCGAAGACTATTCCTGGTAAGGGTCGTGGGAATCCAGAGTTTAGCCCTGGAAGCACAGGGCACAAAACGGGATTACACCCTGGAAGAGACCAGTCCATCACACACCAACACACAGACACTGGTCAGCCTAGCCAGGACTAATCCCCATGCCAATGTGGTGCCCCATGGAAAAACATTTCCAGGTAAAGAAGTCACGTATAATTTCCATGTGCAACTTAGGTATCTCATTATTTTGTAAAAGTTTCATTAAGTGCACAAGAACTCATTATACATCAATATTGGAGTAATTTATTATACCCTACGTTTTGCAATATACTCACCCGTGTTCAGGAGGTGGCAGTGAAACTAGGAATTAGCTGATTGAAGTGTGTGCATGAACATTAACACTCCCAGCAAAACACGCACAATTAAAGATGTAATTCTGTCGGCAATACAGCGCACACAAAATGTATTCTTGCACTTGTTTTGTTAAGCAGATAATCACCTCTGTGATAATCAAGACACCTGATCATACTGAAACAATATGCTTTTTGAACAGGCTTACTTTCAGGTGTTTATGGGATGTATTCAAGACTCTAAGGACAAGCAGTTTGGAAAAGCTAGCACGCTTCAATATTGTAGATCTTAAACACAAGGATATGTAATAAAAAACGATTTGATGACAGAAAATAAATACTAAGCACTGCATCTGACAAAGATAAATATGCAGAATATTTTAAAAATGATCAATAGGTATCAATCTGCAATATATAGTATATCAATAAATTGACTGCCACAAAACAATCTAGAAAAGGCATTGTATGGTTAAGGAACAGTATAATTTGCCTTTCAGAAAGCATTCGCTTTTGTGTAATCTTGAAAACCTTCTTTTGCATTTTACATCACCATGCTTAATTATCCTTTCAAGACAACAATCGCCACAGTGTTTAGAAAGCCCTTTGAATTACCATTAAACTTAAGACATTCAGTCATATAAATGTCAAGTGCAAGACGAGCTCGTCAGCAGAGATGCACAGATTGCCTCATTTGCATGATCCATAGTGATTAAACAGCCACAGCTTTAGGAATTCAGTGATTAACACGTTTGGCTTATGGGGTTATCTGGTGCGGCACATATGTGAAGCACATTTTTACTACCAGAAGCCAGATTTAAAAACCCCACAACTTTTGTGAATCGTTTCCTTTCTAACAAGGAAATCGGTCCATTGGTGACCAAGATACCCACTTTCCCAGGCACAATGCCTAATACTAAATTATTTATACTTTGTAAGCATATGAGCCTGCTACAAAGTAAAGTCAAAGGTAAATGAAACTGCATACATAGTACAGTACATTATGGCTTTTTGTTTAATCAGCACAGATATGTTAATCACAACTGTGGAAAAAAACCTTTCCCTCAAAAGCATACTTTTTAGATGTTTTTTCTATCGCAATTGAATCAAACTAGACCTTATTATCTTCAGCACAAATCTTACTCATTTGGCCTACAATAGAAACAGAAGATCCTTAAATCCCTAGTAACTCTTCACCCATACCTACAAAGCCAAACGCAAGAGAAAGGAGCTCAGATGACAACAGAAACTTCAAAATAGAAAACTGAAAAAACTTTAAAAGCAAATGTTTTTTAAAAGAGAGCTCTCATTTAGCAGCTGTCTTTGCAAACAGAAGCCCAAGTTAGACACAAAAATCTCCAGATGCAGTGCTGCTTGTTTCATTAGGGGATAGTATTGAAATGCAGCAACATATTTAGGATGATTAAATCATTACATCAGAATGCAGAGCACATATATTCAAAGTACAAAGTGTATTCCTCTTCTGAAACAAAAGAAGATTAAATTGACTTACATAATCAATAAAATATGGCTTTTGTTCCAGCTGAATGTTCTATCCAAGTAATCTCATTAAATTGCTGAACCCAGAGCTATCTAAAATTACTTTTTTTATAGAGAAGGTTTTTAATTGCACTCACTCTGTAAAAGTCCTGTTGAAATGACATCTTTTGTTGCAGGATGCTGTAAAATACTATTAATACACAATGGGTCTTTGCATAACTGAAACTAAAGGCTTTTAAGTGACTTTTTGTAATAAAATTCAAATACAACTATGTCTCTTAAGGAAGTATTGCAAAATTGGTTTGAATTAAAGTTGAGAACAGTGTGCATCAAGTTTTGTCTATAACTGTAAGCAAAAAAATAATTAATTGATTTCACAGTAACCAGCATACAGTAGATCAAGGCAACCATTGTTGTCTTTTCTACTTGAAGAACGTGTCAGTTCAATCAAGGAGTGACCACTTTCAGAGGAGGGTCACCTCATAGGAATGTTACAGCAAGTTCAGGAATCCCCTAATATGCTTCAGAGACTAATGCTCTTCACCTTCAATGACTTGGATTCCTGATCTCAATTTTTGTTTCCTGTCTGGGGTGTCTAATTTGGACTCAGAATGCAGAATAAGAATTAGAGAGGAACCCTGCTGAACTCCTGATGCCCCCAGTACATGTGCATTTGGGTAATGCAATATTTTGTCAACCCCAGGTAACATTATCACTGTGTTGCAGTGGCAAAATGTTATCTCCATAAACCTGATTGATCAGAACCCTAACCCACCACCCTTATTCTAATGTGCTGACTGGAAATCCTCCAAACTGGCATAACATTCAGAATCCCTCCTCTAGCACCAAGCTGGTACTGAATGTCTCTTGTTTTGACTAAAACATAGCTAAAACTAATAGTAAGACCTTATGTTTCACACAGGGAAAATGTAGTAAAACAGAAAATGGTAACCACCAATTTATGCAATGTTTGTAAGTTTTTTCAGATTTTGAAATCTCCAGTTCTGGCAAAACATAGCTTGGAAGTGTCCACTGTCACATTTAGCATGATTGCAAAGTTTTACAATAGACCTTTTGCTTCATAGTTCACACTGTAAACCACAGTATTAAAATGGTGGAAAAAAATGCCAAAACTGAATGCATGACTCTAAATCTTAATGCTAACCTCAAACAAATTTCTAAGTTTAAAAAGTTTATAGTAAAGTATATATAAAGACCCTATATTTTCCCTTAGATTTGATTTTATAAAGAAATGCAGCCCAGATTCCAAAAGAACTAGCTATATTTTTCTCAGGAGTATAAATGTTTTATCTGTTGTATCATTGGTCAGCAGTAATTTAGTGTGACAAAACATCAAAATGCATACAGGTAGAAAGAGAACATCTATTTTTTTTGTACAAATCGGAAACTGCAAACCTCTATGATATGTATTAGCAACAAATGAACAACGTGCAACATTTGAACTGCATCAGAATGACAAGTGTTTGCGAAGTCTCCAACCCCCCCAATTTAACTTCAAAAGAAGTAGGTGTGATCCTTGAAGTAAATCTTAACTTAGCTGTTTCTGCGATCACAGCTGCTGTGATATCCTCTCGGGCAAGCCCCAAAGCAGGCTAACGCAGCACAGAGATCTGTGTAGGAGTTTGACACTGGAGAGAAACATTTTTTGTAGGGATTTTTATTTTTCATACCAGACTTCATAAGATTACACTTTTTTTATTTTTACAGTGCTATTTTTTTAAACTGGCACAATCCCAGAAGAAGACTTAAATTACACAAGACAGAATCAAAACAAATATCCTATCCAGAGAAAGACATGAAGATCTATCTATATTTCTACTACTACGGAGCTAATAAAATAAATTTGCCAGGAAATGAAACAAGTTCAAGTCTAACACAAAGTAAGATTAATTTATAACAGACTTAATGCAAAGGTGTTTTTCATATGCTTAGGAGTGATACTTGAATGTATCACTTGAATTGAATGTTCACATCAGGTCAGTTTCAATAACCTCTTATCCAACTCAGGGTCATGGTGGCACGGGGCCTATCCTGGGAAGCATTGAGCTCAAGGAGAGATAGACCCCAGACGGTGTCCCAGTC